TGCATTTACTACTGTTTCAATAGATGAGTTCAAAACCCACTGAAATTCTTCACTTGGAAGACTTGTAAACAGGTCGGAAAATGATTTCCCAGTGAAAATCCCAGCATTTTTACAAGGATACACATTGTTTGGGACCACAAAACCACACATCTTGAAGCACAGAAACTGCAGTTTGTGGTAATAATCTTGCTTTCTTCCTTCAGGATGTTGATCTATTAGAGGTGAACTATGACATTTGGATCCCAGCAAGGCCACCAGTGTCACTTAATAGTAATAACTTAATTTTAATCTACATTTGGTCTTAGCTAAAAGGCGGAGAAATTATATTGTATTTTTATATATATTAAAAAGGTAGGAAAGTCCTTCATTTATCCTGCACAACATCAGTGGATCTTTTTTGTGCACACACTCCACCTAGACAAACTCAGCTCTGAAGGATTTGTGCCAGTGAGCCCCCTGACAGCTGGGACAGTGCAGGGCTGTGGGCTTCTCAGCAGCGCCACCCACTGGTCAGGTCCAGGCCAGGCTGGATCCCCGCTCAGGCCTGAGATGCTGAGGCCTCTGCACAGCCTGCTCAGTGCCGGCAAGCAATACTTTTCAGGGCACTCGCACTGCTGTGCATTGCCTGTTAGCTTAATATTGAATAATTGTTTTTAAATCATTTTAAATTTTCAGTATGGCTGTATCTGTTTTAACTTGTGTTGTGGTCATGAGCTCTGCCAGAGATGAGTTGTTGGTGTTATCTCCTGAATTAAAAAGTGAAGAGACTTTTTCAGACTGCTGAGAAAGTCTTCAGCTAATAGGTCAGTCACCCCATTGCTTGAACTCCAGGCCACACTGACCCAGGGGTTACAGGATGAAGGCAGGATTTGTGCTCAGATGTGAGGGGACATAGTAGCAGGAGGGAAGGTTTCTGTTCACGTGTGGCATTGTGAAGTCTTCCTTGAGCTCTTTACATCCTTCCCAGAGGACAAGATAGGATGTTGCAATCCTAGAAAGCAGTCACAAAACTAGTCACTTCACCGCAGTCCCTGAAAACCCCTGCGTGTGTGGAACGAGGAGGGCATGGAGAGACGGGCGCCACATGCCTGTGTGCAGGAGGGAGCAGAGAAGGAAGAGTAGAAAACTCACCAAAGGTAAACCCAGGGAACTTAGAGAAGACCTCCAGTGTGCAAAGGAGCCCAGAGTCCTGGAGAAAATTGAAGGAGAGTATATTTAATTTGGTTCAGTAGATTAGAAGCAGTGAAGGGATTGAGTGGTGTAGATAGAAGCCAAAAATTAAAGCATCTTATATCACTGATGCAGCCTGTCTGTCTGAGGTCACGTCAGCCTAGCGAGGCAGCCTAACCTAGTGAGAGACACGGGTTCAGGCCCCAGCTTCACTGCTGGAACAGAGGACAGCTGTTCGTTGACACAACCTTCTTGGAGTTCAATTTTAATTTTTTAGCTATGGGGGAAGGCAGTGCCACATAGTGGCTCATACTGTGGTTCCAGTCCTGGCTTCCCTGTATGCCAGCCTTTCCATGCTGGGCAGGGTATTAACTTAACAATTGGGGTGGATATATATGAATCACTCAGAATGGATTTCCCACATGGTATACATTGAGATATTATCACTTGTTATTTGTATTACTTTGATAAAAGGTAAATGTAAGCATAGAAGAACAAAAGTGGCCTTTTCCACAATATTTAAAACATGCCAAAATAAAGCAAACAGCAGTCAGGTCTTACTCTACAACTCAGATCAGCAGAAGCTTTATTTTTCCTCTACAGTTTCAATCTCTCCTCCTGCCCAGGTAGTGGGGAATTTAACTCTGATTCTTCAAGCTTTCCTTCTTTTCCCTAATGGTCGTCAAGTGCCAGAGCATTTGGCAGATGGAGGAGGTCTCTGGTCCTCTGTCAAAAATGTTATCCTGGATTTTTATAGTCATTTTCCTTTCTCTGTGGTGAGACTAGGCCCTTCAGGACCCTGTGTTTTAGCCCCAGGAATTGAGGCTGTCAGAATCAGGTTTCTGTCTGTAGGAGGCTTGCCAGAGGAACAGTGGCTGCTTGAGGCGGAGCTGAGCACTGCCCAAAACTGAGGCTGAGATAAGGAGGTCAGACTCTTGCAATGAGAGCAGTGCCCACGCTGACAGCCACACCTGGAGTGGGGAAGTTGGTGTCTAGTTGATCTGCCCAGGAAGTTGTAATACAGATCATAGAGGTGTATGTTGCCATGTCTTCCACACCAGCCACCAAGAAAACTACTCCTGATGTCCTGACAAGAATGGGCTAAATTTGAGGAATATTTCATATAAGAGGATGGTCACCAGCCTCCACTGAGGGCAAGAGCCAGGCCTGAGCAGAGTCTGCCCCTGCGCTGACTGTCTTAATCCTCGGGAATGATGTGAGACGGACTGTGTCATCCCTTGTAGGGTACTGCTGATGTGTCTAAGCTTGTAGAGCTATGACATTGTGGCATCACTTCCAACCCACATGAGCTTAATTAATTCTGCAGACCACAGGGTTGTTTCACTACAGCAGAACTTGGGCTATGGCTACAGGGATTTCACCAAGAAATGTCCCAGCGGGAGGTGGCCATTACCAAACCTGTGTCATCTTGCCTGTACCTGGCTGAAAGCGGGAAGAGGCCAGCAATGCAGGCCTGGTGACACAGGGTTTAGATTGCAAAACTTAAGACCTTTTGTGTCTCTGGGGTTCCAACTTCTGGAGACTATTCAGGAATAGCCAAGAAGTTTTGAGAAAGGGTAAGGGCCCTCTTGTTTATCAAACCAAACTATTCCAATCAGGACCATGTGGTATTGACACAGGAATAAGTATATAATGGCTAGCTCAGGTAAGAGAATGCAGAAGTAGACCTGTTTGCAAGAATTTATTTTATGATCAAGGTGGCATTTTGAAACAGTAGGGAAAGAGCCTAGTTAGTAAATGGTTTGGGGCATCTGGCTCCCCACCTGAAATGTTAAATAGCTATTTTATACCACCTCCAAAATAGAATTCCTTATGGACTAAGAATAAACTCTTCATAGAGTTAATCATAAAAACAAAACCATAAAAATATTTTTCTAATCTTAGCCTTCCTAAGCAATACACAAAATCCAGAAATGATAAAGATGACAGCTTTAACCTCATGGAAATTAAAACAGGGCAATCGGAGGGAGCAGGCTGAAGGACATTTCAATGTGTTCTATATTATTTGAATCTTACACAGTGAGAACTTAGGAGGGGACAATGTGGCTGCAGTATTGGAAAAAAAGTTGACAATGTGGGTGAGTAACTGTACCATGGCCTTTAAATCCTTCAATAAGTTCTCGGCTCCCCTTAGGTACTTTGCAGGGGCTTGAATAAAAGAGACTCTTCCTTGAGGGCTTAGAGTCAACCTGTGAAAACTGGCCCACAGGCTACCACCACCAGTGCCACTAAGAGCCTGAGTGGGCCACGACCTGCATCTATGTGGTGGTTGCCCAACAAGAAAGTGTGCACTCTGGGACAGCTTCCTGGAGGTGGTGGAATTTGAGCTGGGTCTTACAAAGTAGGTAAGATTGCAGTAGGTGGTGTAGGGAAGTTTAAGCTTTTCTCCCGAAGGTTCCATAATTTGAATCTATAAAACAAACAGATAATACACAGATTAATAGCAAAAGGCTTACAAATTTTGTGGGAACACATGCACAGGAGTCATACAAAATATAAAAAATCAAAGAAATGGTGAGATGGTTGACTCTTTTGTACCATCTTGAAATTACAGAAAGAATGCAGGCTTGGAGCATGGAAAAAGTTCTGGGAGAAGGAGAAGAGAAACCTGGCAAGTGAAGGAGGTCTTGTTACGTAGATGACACCTCATGGCTAGTGGCTGTCAGAGCCTGTGGGAAATGATTCTTTCAGACCCTCAGAGATGTCAGACTCTCAGGTGATCTTTCCTAGATTTGGACAAGGGGGGGTTCAGAGAAAGCCTGTTTGCATCTGTTGTTACTTCACTATCTTCTCTGTAGGTGCAAATCTCCCCTACCTAAAGACAGCTTTGCGGGGACTGCTTCTGTCTGCAGACCCTCTGAATAGCCATCTCAAAATATATAAAGGATATTTTGAGGTTAAATATCTTCATTTCCTTCAGTGGGAGACAAGAGTCTTCCAGACGAGGGAGGTTGAAACCATTGGCCCCACTGCCCCAGGCGCTCTGTAGCCACACAGGGCCAGGCCACCCTGCAGTGGGTCAGCTCTACACAGGCCCCACCCTGTTGTGGTGACAGTTGTGGAGAAACTGGTAAAAATCAGGTCTGAGCCAGATGTGGAGGTTGGTACATTGGGCCTGGGCGAAGGCCAAAGGGTCAGGAGAATGCTAAGTGGGCTGGGACCTTGGGGGCATGGCGTGACTGGCCTAGTGGCCCTGCTAATGTAGGCACCTGTGAAGGCCAACATACGGTCTGTGGGGTGTGGTGAGGGGACAGAGCTTGCCCAAGAGACTGAGTTGGTTTATGGCAAACACCACAGGGCTCTTTGACACAGGGGCAGGCCAGGTCTCAGAGAGATGACCTGGGACAGGGCCATCTCTTCAGTCCTCACCATACCCTGCACAAGACTGTCTTCAAGAGGGGCCTCGGCTCTCACACAGACCCCAGATTCAGGCGCACAGCACGCAAAGCGCTGTAATCCCTGGAAAGGGCCACCCATCACTGTGCACACAGCAGCATTCTGGTCGGTTCAGGTCTGTAAGTGAAGTAAACAGGAGAGCGATTCCAGACAACACTTACTGGGAAGAGAAAACAACCTGTAGTAGAGGCCGCAGGGGGTCTCTCATTGCCTCCCTGTCCGCACCACACAGACAAGGGTCAGCCTGTCCTTGTCACCTCCAAATCCTGCTTTCACTCAACAAATAGGCATGCTGATGAGGGGAAGAGGAGGGCAAGGGCAGGGCGTGGGGGTCCTTGGAGGCACTGGCTCTGGGTGACAGGGCTGTGAGCAAAGGAGGGCAGTGGCCCGCCTGACGTGGCTTTCAAGAGGCTGGCTGCCGCACTGATGACTGACTGCGGCAGAAGCAGGGAGACCCGTTCAGCTAATTCTACATTGTTGTTGGCCCTTGCAGGCAGGAGACAATGATGGCCTGAATCAGGGGGTGGCAGTGGGAGTGGTAAGAAGGGGTCAGTTGGTCAGAAGGGACAGCTGACAGGATTTCCTGATGGAGTGGAGGCGAAAAAGAAGAGTTATAGGTGGCAATGCTTTGGGCAGGAACAGCTGGAGGCCAGTTGCCGTCAACTGTGCTGAGGGTGGCACAGAGGGGCAGAGCTTGGCACGAGCAGGCTGAGTTGGCACCGTCAGGCATCCCAGAGCTGTGAGCAGGCGGCCGGACGGACCAGGCTGGGACTGAAGAGCCAGGCCAGGGCTGTGGGCATCAGCATGGGACTCACGTCATGTCGTGTTGAAAGGCCACTTCAGATCATTGGTGAGTCACGCTGGCTCTCAGGTAGCCTCCCTGCTGGCTTCCAGCTTCGTCTCTTCCCAAATTCTTCCACATTCCCTACCCTCAGCTAGGCAAGGAGCTCAGAGCCTTGTTCCCAGGGGGAAGCCAGGTCCCCCTGCAGTGTCTCTGCCCGGCCTTCCCCCAGGCCTGGCCCACCAACTGGCTCATACCTACCTGTGTGCCCTGGAGCCACCTGCCCTGCTCATAGAAGCACAGCCCTTGGGGACTGCACAGGCCCTGTCACTTTAAGAATGAAATCAATCACCCTGTGTTCACTGTCTGGGAGGCAGGGGGCAGACCTGAAAGAAGAAAAGGAAGTGGCTGCTTCCTGGCCTGCTGACAACATGAAAACTTCCTGCAATGAGAACAAGAGAGCAGGTGCCCTTCCTGCAGCCCCCTGAGGGAGTGATGGTTGGGTACCGGCCCCTGGTCCTGCCCTGGGTGCTGCTGGCCCTCTGCCTCACTGCCGGTAAGTGGGAGGCCAGTGAGGGGCAGAAGCCACTGAGGGGGGAGTGTGGAGACACAGCTGTGGACCCTCCTGTCTTTATTCCACAGGGACCCCTGAGGTGTGGGTGCAAGTTCAGATGGACGCCACCGAGCTCCCATCCTTAACTGTCCGCTGTGGGTTCCTGGGGTCTGGCTCCATCTCCTTGGTGACTGTGAGCTGGGGTGGGCCCGATCGTGCCGGTAGGACCAGGCTGGCTGTGTTGCACCCAGAACTTGGCACCCAGCAGTGGGCCCCTGCCCGCCAGGCCCGCTGGGAAACCAGAAGCAGCGTCTCCCTCAGCCTGGAAGGGTTGGAGGCGAGAAGCCCCAGTGCCAACACTACCTTCTGCTGCAAGTTCGCTTCCTTCCCCGAGGGCGCCCAGGAGGCCTGTGGGGCCCTCCTGCCCAGCTCAGACCAAGGTGAGCCTGAAGAGAGGGGCACAGGGAGGGAAAGGAGGGACTCGGGTACCTGCTGCCATCGACACCTTTCTCTCTGCCCAGGCCCAACTTCAGTCCCCATTCTGCGGGCAGACCTGGCCGGGATCTTGGGGGTCTCTGGGATCCTCCTCTTTGGCTGCATCTACCTCTTACACCTCCTGCGCCGGCAGAGGCACTGGTGAGACTGGGCCCCCAACTGTGTCCCCTTGCCACTGGGCTGTCCACATGCTTTGCCTCTGATCCTCCTCACTCTCTCCTAGGCCTGTCACTAAGCTCCAGCCGCCCCTCACCAGTCCCCAGGCACAGCCCCCAGCACAGGTAAGGAGGAAGGGGTGACACATGTTTTTGGGGCTGGAGCTGGGCTGTGAGCTATGAGGCTCACTTGTCCTTCCTTCCCTGCCTCCCCTCCTTCCCCTCTGCAGGCAGCCAGCCAGGCCTCCCTGGCCGCTCACCGAGTCCCCTACACCTCCATCAACACCAGCCTCTGCCCAGCTGCTCTGGATATGGCCCACCCCCGCCAGCGACTGTCCTGGTGGGTGCCGCTCCCCACCCACACTGCATGCCAGCCCCAGGCCCCTGCCCCCTGGGCCTCCCCTGCACGCAGCAGCTTCATCTCTGTCGAGAATGGACTCTATGCCCAGGCAGGAGAGAGGTCTCCCCACATAGGCCCCAACTGTACCCCTTTCCCCGATCCTCTGGGGTCCAGGGCCATGCAGGGGCACTTAGGAGTTCGATGAGAGAGAACCCCAAGTCCACTTGGCCTTCTTCACCTTCCCCCCTCCCCCTGAGGGCCCTCTTCTCTTGGGCGCCTGCACCCCGGGCTCTGCCCTCTTCACACATCTTGCTTTAATCCTAGGCCTCCAGTAAGTGTCTCTGCTCACCCCAGGCTGGGGCCCCCTTGCTGCGGATGTGGTCAGCATGTGTGCGTGTGTGAGTATGTGTGGGTACAGGTGTGAGTGTGTGAGGAGACAGAGCCCCACTATAGGTCATTTCCTGTTGTGACCCTTCCCCAGCCCTCCCCGGTGGTGTCAGTAACTAAGTCAACAACATGGTTCCTCTGACTTGGGCCTTGGCTGGGCCTTTTCTTCTTTGTGAGTTAAGAGATAAGAGGAAGGTTAGAACCAAAGGGGGACGAGGCCTCCGTGCGGGGCTGGGGTTGGCCCAAGGAGAGAGCAGAATGCCCCAATCTCAGAGATCTCTTCCTGCCCTCCTGGAGTTAGGGGTGGGGCCTTCCTGTCCCTGCGGACCTTGCTATGGGCTAGGAAGGTAGGATTGGGGTCCTGTGTCCCCAGGTGGAATCGTCCCCACTCAAACCCCAGCATATCCTAGGATAACAGCAAGGGCTTCTGGGGTTTCAGCCCAAGAGAAGTCCCTGTGGTCTGAGCTGGCGTCCCTGTGCCGAGCTGCCTGTGAGAGCCTGGGCTGTGGGCCTGACGCCCTCCTTCCACAGAGTTGGCATTTAGAGGCCGGGGGGTGGAGCCTGGGGGACCCACTTCAAATCTGCTCACAGTCACCTCTAGCTCCTCTCAGTGGCAGGCAGAGGCCCTCACAGACACAGCAAGCAAACACATGCTTACCTACCCACAGATTGTCCTGTCTGCAGCCAGCCCTCCTGCTCATGGGCCCATCACACCTCTGCCACACAAGACAGTGTGGGTGCCATGAGGCTCCCCAGGAACACACAGCTCCAGGTGGCCAGAGGCAGTGTGGTCCTGGAGCCAGGCTGAGGCTGCACCTGCAGCCAGGTGAATACTAGTGGGGAGGGAGGTGCATCTGCCACTCAACCCCCTCCTTGAACCTGCATGGGGGAAATCCCAGGCAGTGCCAGGTGCCAAGCCAGGACCCACCCCTTTGCCTGAGGCTGTGTCCAGCTGCAGAATCCTCTGGCAGACCAGCATGCCACCCCAGGACCCAGCCCCAACCAGCTGCCAGCTCTGCACTGCATGGGGAGAGGATGCTTATCGGTGGTGGGGCCTGCCTTCCTCAGCCGGGAGTCTTCCTCCTCCTCTGAGCAGCACTCAGCACTGGCCTAGTCAGCTCCATGGTTCCTCCAGGGCTGGGAGCTCAAGAGAGGAAGGGGTGCTGTGGAGGTCAGCAAGGAGGGTCAGGGAGGCAGGGCCCAGGGAGAGAGCTGTCAGGAAGGGAGGGACCCTTGGGACCCTGTGCAGACCTGGGACTGGGGTGTGAGTCAATGGGCCTTGCAGGGTCTCAGGAAGCCTGGGAAAGATCCCTAGAAAGCTCTGCTTCCTAGGAAGGGGACAAAGGGGGAGCTCTGAGGCTCCCCAAGCCCCTCAGCCAGGGCCACCTGTCCACCATGGAGTGGGATAGAGCTCTTCTGGCCTGAGCTTGGCTTCTACAAGCTCAGAAGGTCACAGCCCAACCTGGTCCCTACAGAACTCAGAGGTAAACACCTCGAGCCCAGGAAGTCTCCCCTCAGCTGGCCTGTGCCTCCCTGGCCAGCCGTAAGTGCCAGACCCAGCAGCAGGACGGAGGGGACCCCTGAGAGCAGACCTTGTTTGCTGCGCCATGTCACATGGCCAGACCACAGACACAGGGATCAGCGACTGCAGGCCCCTTTTTCAGAGAGGTGACTTGGCCAGGAAGAACAGAGTCAGCCCAGCACCTGCGCCTGCCTCACCTCCAGCAGCCCCTGGCGTCCAGCACCAGGCCCCAGCCATGACCCAAGCTGAGGTTTCTGCTTTGAACAGACGTGGGTTTGAATCCCGGGGTCACTCCCTGGCTGTGTGATGCCGAGTGTGTCAGCTCATTGGGCTCATAAAAAGGGCAAGGAGGCCTGGGGCCGGGGGTGGGGGGTTATAAAACAGGGGGATCCCAAAGACCAAGCAGCTCCTCAAGGAGTATCTCATTTAGGACGTACAGCAACCCACGCAGTGGCTGTTCTCACGACGTTCGCCTAACAGCAGCTCCGCCCAGCCCGGGGCGCAGAGCCCGGAGGAGAGGGGCTCCTAGGGAAGGGGGCGTCAGGCAGCGCCGCCAGCCTGGACGAGCGTGGCTGGCGGGCCCCTGACCAGTGGGGCGGGCGCCGGCGGCCGAGCGTCTCCACCAGGTGGCGCGGCTGACAGCGCAGCGGAGACCCAGACGGTGCCCGGAGGGCGAGGGTCGGCGGCGCCTGAGAGGAGGACGCCAGGCTGCGGCGGGGACGCGGACAGTTGTGACCTACCCGGGTCCACGACCCTTGACTCCGCATCCCTGCCCTCCCCTTCCCACCGCGTCTGGCCGAGTAGCCGTTCCGGATCCCAGGACCTGAGCCTGACCACCCTCGGCCCCGCTCGCACGCCCCGCTACCCACTGCCTGCCCCTTCCCCACCCAATCCACCCCGATATCCCGAGAACCAGCCCCCACCAGGACCGTCTGCCCCAGCGGCCCCGGAGCCATCCTCTCGTCCAGCCCTTGCTCTCTCCTTGACGCGGCTGTGGCTGCGGAGATTGTCACCAGGCTGTTGGAGCCCCTCCCTCTGCACCCTGGTCCCACCCCTACCCCTCAGCTGCCACTGGCCCCCAGGCAGCCCTGAGCAGCCACCTTCCCCTGCCAGGAAGAGTCATGCAAAGGGGGAGGGTGTAGGGGGAAAAGGGGCCATCACCTCCCACCCAGTGTGTGACCTCCAAGATGGCCAACAAACAGAGCATCCTCAGGGCCTCAACCCAGCCCACTCGCAGGAAGGTGGCCGGGATACCTCAACAATGGATGGCAGAGGCCAGGAATTATGGGGGAAAAAAGTGACTGAGGGGTGTGTGACGGGGCCAGCAGAAGTGGGGAGCCCTGGCCAGGCCTAGGTGGCATCTGAACCCGGCCAGAGTGAGACTGGAGAGCCTCCTGTGACCCTCCTGTTCTCTGGGTCTCCCCCAGGCCAGTTGTTCCCCCAGGCCCCATGGGGGAACAACTCCCGGAGGAGAAACAGACTGTGCCTCTGTCCCCAACACACAGACACACAAACGCACTGGGCGACAGGTCTGTTGGCCCAGACATGGGGTAGGGGGACAGGTCTGTTGGCCCAGACATGGGGTAGGGGAACAACTCCCGGAGGAGAAACAGACTGTGCCTCTGTCCCCAACACACAGACACACAAACGCACAGGGCGACAGGTCTGTTGGCCCAGACATGGGGTAGGGGGACAAGAGGTGCTCCAACCTAGGTTCCAGCCAATCTCTGAGGATGAGAGGCCAGTGACACCTGGAATTTCCATAGACGGATCCTCAAACAGCTTTATGTCAGTGTCTGTAAAATGGGTCAACTCACTCAGAAAGCTTGGCAGTCTGGAGAAAAGTCCAAGGCCTGGTTCTTGTTAAAGAACAACCCTCTACCTGGGAGGGTCTAGGGGCAGGGTTGAAGGCACTGTCCCCTGCCACTCAGTGTAACACGAGTCACATTAACTTCCATAGCAAAGGTGGAGGGGACTGTAGGTGCCCGGCACCCTCAGCCCTACCATGACCCTGTCTGGCCTTCCTCACCACCTCACCCCATAGTGCCCACATGCAGAAACTCATGTCCAGGACAATGGTGTCCACAGCTGGTGCCACGGCCATGTGATTTCCAAACAGCAGAGACAAGACTGGGAGGTCTACCCCTCAAGACATCTGCATCCAGGATAGCCCAGTGCGAAGAGATGTGGGGTACCAACCTGCCCAATGTCCTTGGAGGCCTGGCCCACAAGGCTCTGCCTAAGGATTTGTGGAGGGAAGGGTTCTATATTGGTCTCTCCAGCCTCTGCCCTGCCAGCCTCCTGCCAACTCCCTTCCCCACCTCCTCCTCATTTCTAACCTTTCTGTCTTCATTTCGTTCCTTCAGAAGTATTTACCGAGCTCCTACAAGGTACTGGGCACGGTACTAGGTCCTGGGATTACAGAGGTAACAAGTCAGGTCTCTTATGTTCAATTCTATGGGGATGGCAATAAACAGACAGCGGTCCATGTGTTACAGGGAAAAGATCAGGGCATTCTGGGAAGGAATGACAGAGCCTCACTGGGTTCATGACACTCAAAACAAGACTTGGAGATGAGTGGGGTTGTCTAGATGAAGACTGTGGGGAGACCCTTCCTGGCAGGGAAAGACCCTGTGCAAAGGCCCTGAGGCTGGGACCAGCAGGGTCCAAAGCCAGTGGGTGGATATGCTTGAAATCAGGTGAGCAAAGGAGAGAGGAAAAGGGAATAAGGTGAGAGCAGTAGGCCACAGGAGGGATTTGGACTTTCTTACAGGGGCCAGAGTCCCCCTTTCTTACAGGGGCAGAGCAGTGGAATGATCAGACACATCCGCTATAAAGATCACTCTGGCTGCAGCTGGAGGCTGTGTGTGTGCTAGTAGCTGCTGGGGCTGAGGACAGTCAGGAAGTTGCTGCCATAATTGAGGTGGGGGTGGGGAAGGGAGTGTCTGAGCCTAGGGGCTGGAAAGTAGAGGGAAAGAAGGGGCGGATCCAAAATATGATTTGGAGGCAGAGTTGTTCCTGGCTGGGTGGAGAGAGGACAAGGACAGTCTGAAGGGTGACCCCAGCTTTCCAGCTTGAGGGACTAGGTGAGGGAGGTGCCATTCCCTGAGATGGAGATTGAGAAGGAGCATGTTCCAGGGGAGGGTGATGTTCAAGGGGTTGCTAAAGACAGACCAAGGTGAAATGCCCAAGGCACAGACAGGGTGTCAGGCCAGCGGTGCCTCTCCACGGCCCAAGGAACATCTGAAGTGAGGGGCAAGATCTGGATGCAAAATACTGATGAGAGAAAACTCAGTGCTCAATCAGTGGAAAGAGACGCAGCTTAAACCCATTGGAAGGTTCATTGTTGACAGGTTAATCTACTGAACTTGATCTACAAAATAAAAAATATTCTTAATCATAATTACAGCATGGTTCATGTAGAAATTGACTAACAGATTTGATAATTTGATTTAAATATTTTGAAGTGTACTCTGGGATGGGAGTCATTAAGACAATAACAGAGGTCAGAGCATTAAGAAGGCAGAAAATAAGAAATTACAGATGAAACAATTGGCCCTGTGATGAATGGATGTCAAATAGACCAATACAGAACCTAAGGAAACACACAGAGAACACTTATATTTCTTTTTCTGGCCATAGTGCCCTGCCTAGAACCTCCCATACAATGTAGGAAGGGAGTAAGAACAGAAATCTGTGCCTTGTTCCTGATCTTACCAGGAAGCAGAAACAGGGTAGGCTGCCAAGGAGGGGGAGGGGCTGGGGCGGGGATGGATTTCACCAGGAGGAAAGGAGTTTGGGGGACAGTGGGGACATCTAAGGCAGTGTGGTTGTCAAAGTGTGGTCCAAGGTCCTCACTCCCTGTCCCTGCTCCTGACCATGCTGCTTCCCGCCCCTCCCCCAGGACACCTGCTGGCTGGAGGGCTGCACTTAGGCTCTGCCCATCTTGGAATCATAAAACCCCAGCCCCCACCCCCAGAAGTCCCCTCTGTGAAAGAGCCACAGCTCCAGGCTGATTCCCAGGCCCTGTCTGTCCCATGGGGAAGGGAGGGTGGACAAGCCCAGGAGACCTCACACCATCCCTGAGCAGATGTCGGGTCACACGGGAGAACCCTCATGGGGATTCAACTGGGTCCAGGCCCTGAAAGTGACATCAGATGTGTGCCCTGCGTTAGGAAGACTGCACGTGGCAGGTGCCCTGTGAAAGTTACCCAGAGCCTGTTTTGTAGAAGGTCTCTGTGTCCCACCAGCTGGCCCCTGGTGCCCCTGATGGGGTCCAGCCTCCTTCTTGGGTGGCCTGGCAAGCAGGTGACCTTCCAGCCAGGTCCCATGGCTTGTGGGGCAAGGTGGGAATGGAGCCCAAGGAGTTAGGCCTCAGGCAGGGCAGACCACCCTCTCCAGGCCCTGCTGAGACAGCCAGTGGGTAACTTCTCTCTTCTGCCCAGCTTTCCAGCTGAAACCATCCAGCCCAAAGCCGCTGTGCCTCAGTTTCCCCCTGGCTAAAATGGAGATGATGTGTCCACCACAGAGTGTCGTGATGCTGAGAATGAGGGTGTGTAGAGCCTGGCTCAGATAAACGGCTTCCTCGGACAGATGGAGCCTGTTTCTCAGGCCTGTGAGGAGGGGCAGGAACAGCACACATGGAGGGAGGGCCGGGGCTGCCTGGCTGGCTGTGGGAAGTGTGGAAAGGACTTTTAGAATTAGAGAAGCAGCTGAGAAAAGAAGGGAAGTCTTTCTCTGCTCGCTTCCACCTCAAGAAGGCTGAGGCCAGTGCTTCTGGTGAAATCATGTCCTCCTGCCCCCACAGTCCACGCAGCAAGCCGACGCACCTCATCCTGGGGAGGGAGTGGGCAGCGCCTCCGAGGGAGTGAGCCCTGTGGGTCTCTGGAGCTCCCCCCCATCTCTCCCCACCACCACCAGGCAGAGGCTGGCAGTTCCCTCCATTAGAGATGGTCTCAGGGACTCTGTGAGGGGGCCTCATTGCTGCTCTCAGCCTTCATTTACCCTCATCCAAGGAAGGTTCTGGAAAAGCCAGAGTTCTCATGTCTATGGAAGAACTCACCAGAGGAGCTTTATGAAAATACAGCCTCCTGGGCTTCTCTGACCCCAGGGTTTCTGAACTCAGAAGTAGGCCCAGAGACTCTGCCGTGCAGCCAGGTAGAAGCAATGGGGTAGAGTGGAGGCTCCGTGGACGCAGCAGAACTCGAGTTCCAGCTGTGGCCTGGGGCAAGACTTCAGGAAGGGTGTGTCCCTGCATCAAGGGAGCAGCCCACCATGGGAAGGGGCCAGGCAGGCCTTGGTTCTGCTTGGGGGCTGCAGGGGAGCCCCTGCCTGGCATGAGGGGCACAGGGGCACAGCTGGGGGCCCTGCTGCCGGGGCTGGGGGCTAGGGCGTGTGACCAGCTCCACATCCTTCCTTGTCCTCTGGAAGAGCCAAATCTGGGCATGTGGCTGGGCAGAGACTCTCACCAGCCTTTCTTCTCCCTGAAACAGCCTTTCCACTCCCTGAAAGAGTCTGTGCAGGTCCTGGGCAGCCCCTTGCCCTGGAATGACAGAGAGAGAGTTTGGAAGACACTCAGAGAACCAGGGAAGAAGGGGAGAGATAAAGAGCCTGAATGAGATGGGGTGAAGGGCAGGAGGCAAGGAGAGAGAGACTGAGACAGAGAGACAGAAACAGAGAGAAACTGACTCCACAGGAGACACTGAGGGCGCTGGCAGGACAGGACATCCAGGAGGGAGATGGGGAGGCCCCTACAGTCAAGGTCAGGTTCAGGCCCCTTGTCAGGAAGATGGGGGCTGGGGACAGGGCTGCTACTGACCACAAGCGAGGCCCTTTTGCAATACAGGAAAAGAATAAGCCAGATTAATAACGGAAGTGCTGGTCACTCTGGAGGAGGGCAGGTTTGGGGACGGTTACCACCTCCCTCAGTGCCCTGAGGAGCCTGGTCCCGGCTCTCTGGGTGTCCTGTACCTGTGACTCCCAGAAACCCCCTCCATTGGGCCTCCTTCATAGAGTCCCCTATAGGGCCCCCGCTCCAGCCTTGAGCACACTCCTTGTCTTCTCATCCCCTGGAGGAGAGCAGGGCCATGGGTTGGCCTCTGCTGCCATCCCTGCTGCTGCTGCTGCTGCTGTTGCCGCTGCCAACATTTCTTCAAGCTGGTGAGTTCCCAGGACCAGCCTGGCAGGGGCTCTACCCTAACCACAGGAGGGGCTGTGCGGGGGCGTCGGGAGGAGGGGAGTGTTGGAGAAGCCGGCCAGGCCTCCAGCCCCAACAACAGCGGTTGGTCGGACCAGTGTGGGTCCACCCCAACCCTTCACCCTCTCTCTTCCCCCCTGCCTGAAGCGTGGGAGACCCAGGCCAGAGGGTCAGTCCTACCTCTGCCACACACCTCTGGGGAAGGTGCAGGAAGGTCTGGCTTACCCTCTTTTTCTCGTACTGTGGTTTCAATGTCTCCCCCCCCACACACACCTCTCTCCCTCACTCTCTCTCTCTCCTTCCCTCCTCTAGGTGGCTCAGCAGGATACAATACCCGCTCTGGCTTTTGGATCAACCAGCCTCAACACCTCTCTGCCCCCATCGGAGGCTCCATCCAAATCCCCTTCTCCTTCTATCATCCCTGGGTCTTAGCCAAAGATCCCAACGTGAGTATATCCTGGAGACGGGGACATTTCCACGGGGAGTTCTTCTACCACACAACCCCGCCTTTCACCCATGAGGATTACAAGAACCGGCTCTTCCTGAACTGGACAAAGGATCAGAAGTCCGGCTTCCTCAGGATCTGGAACCTGCGGGAAGGCGACCAGTCTGTGTACTTCTGCCGAGTCTATCTGACCACATGGGACAGAGACAGGAAGGTGTTTCAGTCCATCCAGGGGACCAACCTCACTGTCACCCTTGGTGAGTCCAGTGTCCCGATACCAGCCATGTCCAGCCCAGTGAGGCTTTGGTGACCACTGGTGGACTCCAATTCAAGCTGGGTCCTCTGGATTAAGCCTGTATCATTTCACCTCACCATGGCCCTCCCTGTACGAGCTTCTGAGAATGGCTCCCCCACACCTTATATCCCCCTGACCTAGAAACAAGCTGCCACAGGTTCACCCAGATGCCCCCAGGCCTCCAGGGGAGAGTCTGCTTACTTCTCATCTCTCCCCAGCTGACAAGACCAACCAGAGACCCACCAGTGAGTTCACCGCAACTGCCACACCCCGCATCAGGGTCACAGACGGCAAACAGGCCCTGAGTCTGGAGACTGTAGTCCTGGTGGTAGTGGCCACTGCTGTGTTCAAAACTGTCATTTTGGGACTGATGGTCTTCCTCAGGTGGAAGAGAAGGAAAGGTAAGTGACCCAGGACCCACCCTCTCCCCAAGCTTCCCAACAGGGGGTTTCTCAGAACCCACCAGCCAAGGAATCCAAAGGTGCTTCTTAAAAATACAGATCACTCCTAGGCTCCCCTCAAACCCACCAAGTCACACTCTGAGGTCTGGTCTTGGGAATGTGCATCTTGGACAGGCTCCTCAAGTGGGGATTGTGCAGGAAAAAGTTTGAGAGCCACCCATCCCTCTCCACACCATCTGATCACTTCCCAGTTCTTCTCTTGACTTAGTCATCGCTCATCAGTCCTCACCTTCTTGTTCCCAGGGAGGGGAGGGCCTGCTCTGGGAAAAGTCCAGAGAGAACAGAAGGGATCGGAAGTTGGCTCAGCTCAGCAAGCATCGGCCAACTGCCCACTTGCCAGGGCCCGGCTTGAAATCAGAGATATGAAAGTAGATAAAACAGACTCTGCTTTCAAAGAACTCAATCTTGGGGTGGGCAGGGGAGTGTCAGCTATACTAGCACTTAACAAGGTTGGGAGCAAGGAGAGGTAGACAGGGAGGACTTCCCAGAGGAAGTGACACAGGCAAAAATTCTCCAAGAATAAAAAGAATTAGCCAGGCAAGTGGTGAGGGTGGTGCACTGTTCACACACTTTTCTTCTGGGTGGAGGAAACCATTCCAAGAAGTAGGAAGCTCCGCGCTGGTGGAGGAGGCAGGAGATGAGAGAAGAAAACCTTAGAAGTTACCCCCAAGAGGTAACTGATCTCAGAGGCACCATGAAACAGCAAAGGGATGACCTCAGCTCCCTGTCATAGATACACAAGTCTGTGGTGCAGGTTACAACCGTTAAGGACTTGTGTTGATTAGAAATTGTGTTCAGCTGCTACCACTAGGGACCAGAAGTAATTGTTACTTAACTGACACAGAGTAGAGTTTCTACCTCTTGTACAAGGATCTGGGGCAGACAGCAGAGGCCACCATTCTTAGGTGCTCAGGCTCCTACCTTTCTGATGCACTGTCCTTGATACTGGCCTCTGTCCTCATGGTCCAAGATGGCTGCTAGGACTCCAGCCATTGTCCATGGGTTCCTGGCAGGAAACAGGAGGAAGGAAGGAAGGAGAAAACAAAAAAAAACAACTATACTCCAACTGTTTGTTCCCACTTTTAAAGAGCTTTCCTGAAAGTCCTAACCCACAATTGTGCTTATATCTTATTGGCTAAAATTTAGTCATATGTCCCACAGCCATCTGTAGCAGAGCACATTGCCACTCCAAATAAAATCAATTTTCTCTGACTAGGTAACAGAATTGCATGGATACTGGGTAAACAAATAGCATTCCCTGTCATAGGACAGATCCAGGATTGTCAGCTCAGTGTGGCAGAGAGACAGGAGATCACAGGAGGTCAAGGAGTTAGTGAAAGAGCATGGATGGAAAGCAGAGGAGTCAGCAGGGAGCTTGGGTAACCTGGAAAAAAGTGGGCTATCAAGGGACAAGAGCTCAATGAAGTGAAAGAACAGGTGTAGTGGGGTAATGACAAAAGACAGCTGGAACACTTCCAAGTTTATTTGATCAAATTATCATTACCCTGATAGCAAAGCCAGATGAAGTCACTAAAGAAAAGAAAAACTACAGATCAATGAGCCTGGTGAATACTGATGCAAAAATCTTCAACAAAATACTAGCAAACTAAATTCAACAGCACATCCAAAGAGTTATAACCATGACTAAGTGAGGCTTATTCCTGGAATGCGAGGACACATACAAAAAGCAATCAATGTAATGCACCACATTAACAGAATGAAGAGGAAAATAAAAACCATATGATAATCTCAATTGATATAGAAAAAGCATGGGACAAGACGCAGCACTCTTTCATGATGAAAACAATATGCCAGGAATAGAAGGAAAACTACCTCAACATAATAAAGGCCATTTATTAGAAAGCCCACTTCTAATATCACTCAATGGTGAAAGACTGAAAACTTTTCCTCTAAGATCTGAAACACAGCAAGGATACTTACTCTCACTACTTTAACTAAACATGCTGTTGGAAGTTCTAGCCAGAGGAATTAGGCACACACACACACAAAATAATAAAAGGCATATAAATTGGACAGGGGGATGTCAAATTATCTGTTTGCAGGTGACATGATCTTATATGTAGAAAACCCTAGATATTATACACACACACACACACACACACACACACACACACGCAAAGCTGTTAGAACTAATGACCTTAGAAAAGTTGTAGGATATAATATCAACATTCAAAAATGAACTGAGTTTCTACACACTAAAAATAATCTAAAAAGAAGTTAAGAAAATAATTACGTTTCTGCTAACATCAATAAATAAATAAATACTTAGGAATAAACCTAACCAAGAAGGTAAAGACATCTACACTGCAAACCACAAAAAATTACTGAAAGAAATTAAAGACACAAATAAACGGAAAGACACCCTGTGTTCATGGATTGGAAGAATTAATATTAATATTGTTAAGATGTCCATATTACACAAAAGGATCTACAGATTCAAGACAATTCCTATCAAAATTCTAACATGTTTTGCAGGAATAGAAAAATGTATCCTAAAATTCAGATGGAATTTCAAAGGACTGCAAATGACAAAAACAATCTAGTGAAAGAAGAACAAAGTTGGAGAACTCACATTTCCTGATTTCAAAATACATTACAAAGCTACAGTAATCAAAACAATATGGTACTGGCACAAAGACAGACAAATAGACCAATGGAATAGAGTAGAGAGCCCACCTAGAAATAAAGGGGAAGAGGACAGTCTTTTCAACAAATGGTGTTGAGAGAATTGAACACTCATATGCCAAAGAATAAAATTGGATACTCATCTTACACTATATACAAAATTTAACTTAAAATGGAGTGAAGACCTAAATGAAAGACCCCAAGCCATAAAACATTTAGAAGAAAACATAGGGGAAAAGCTTCACAACTTGGCAATAATTTCTTGGATATGACACCATAAGCACAGGCCACAGAAGAAAAAATAGTCATAAAAAAATAGATACATCAAACATAAACACTTTTGTTCATCAAGGGAGACAATCAATGAATGAAAAGGCAATGTATCATACAGGAGGAAATATTTGCGAATCATATCTGATAATGGGTTAATAGAGATAATATATTTTTAGAAACTCTTACAACTAAATAACAAAAAAACAACCTAATTTAAAAATGGGCAACAGATTTTAACAGACATTTCTCCAAAGATGATATGTGCTATGATCTGAATGTGTCCCCCCAAATTCATTTCTTATAAATAATCCCCAATGCAGCAGTTGGGAAGTGGGGCCTTTTGGTCATTAGGGCTCTGCCACAAGAATGGACTAATGCCATTATAAAAAGAAGAATTTGCGGAGTCGGTGTCTCTCTCTACATATCCTATCTTCGATTGGCAGCCTCCCAGAACTGTGTGAAAGTAAACATTGTTCTCTACAAATTACTGATGCTAAGGCATGCGTTACTAGCAGCATACACAGACTCAAGACAATATGCAAATGGTAAATATAAAAGATGCCCCCACTCACTAATGAGAGAAATGCAAAATGTAACACCATAAAGGAGATGAACCCCAGTCGCCACTAGGATACGTGAGGTTACTATTAAAAAAAAATTTATTTATTTAATTTTTTGAGACAGAGTTCACTCTGTTGCCTAGGTCGAGCTGTAGTCGGCATCCAAGCCCTAGCTCACTGCCCAACCCAAACTCCTGGCTCAAGGCGATCCCCCATGCTCAGCCTCGTCCAAGTAGCTGCGGATACAGGCGGGGTGCCACACATACCTTGGCTAATTTTTTCTATATGTAGTTGTCCACGCCAACCTCGTCTTTCTATTTTCAGTAACCGACAGTGGTCTCACTCTTGCCAGGGCTGGTCCAAACTCCGAGCTCCAAGCGAGCCTCCCACCTTGGCCTCCCAGGAGTGCTAGGATTACAGGCGTAGCCACCATGGCCTGCCTGTAAAAAAATAAATAAAATAACAATGACAACGTTGGCAACAATGAGGGGAGAAATTGGACATGCCTTGCTGCACTGTAGGTAGGGATGTAAAATGGTGTGACCAATATAGAAAAGTATGTTCTTTCCTCAAAAAATTAAAAATAGATGTACCATATGATCCAGCAATACCATACTCTGGGCATATATGTTGAAAAGAGTTGAAAAAATGTCTGGGAGAGACATTGGTTAACATTCACATATCTGTTGCATAGCAAGCAATTATTCACAAATACCAAGAGGGGAAAGCCACCCAAACGTCCATCAACGAAAGAATGGATGATTTATGCATATGATGCAATATTATTCAGCCTTTAAAAGGAAGGATATTCTGACACATGCTACAACAGGAATGAAACTTGAGGACATTATACTAAGTGAAACAAGCAAACCATAGATAGACAAATGTTGCATGATCTCACCTACATGAGGTTATTGAGAGTGGTCAATTTGTAGAAACAGGAAGTAGAATGGTGGTTGCCAGGGGAAGGGGAAATAGGGAGTTAGTATTAATATTTAATGAGTATAGAGTTTCAGTTGTGCAGGATGAAAAGTTCTGGAGAGCTGATTCACAACAGTGTGAATATACTTAACACTACTGAACCACATACCTAGACATGGAAAAAATGGTACATTCTAGGTGTTGTTTCAAGACTGGAGAAAGAGGGGAAGAGTGTGTGAGCTGGAAGGAATAACGTTGCAGCATGAAAATGATACCAGCATTTAATATTTCCGAGTTCCCACTCCCAACATTTAAAAAAGCAGCCCAGGGTTGGGTGAGTGGAGTACAAGTGGAGGTCCCTGGAGTGGAGAGGGAGAAGCCAGTCCTGTGTTCACAGGTCCCTGTGGATGCTGAGACCTCCCAGGACGATGCTGGGTGGTGGAGAGG